GGAGGCTAAGGTGCAACTTTTTTTGGTCGTCCGAATCCAGGTTCATCCGACACCAGCCACCTCCAGCATGCTGCCCAAGTTTGACCCCAATGAGATCAAAGTCGTGTACCTGAGGTGCACGGGTGGCGAAGTTGGCGCCACGTCTGCGCTGGCCCCAAGATCAGTCCCTTGGGTCTGTCTCCAAAAAAAGTGCGGGATGAAATCACTAAGGCAACTGGTGACTGGAAGGGCCTGCAGATCACGGTGAAACTGACCATTCAGAACAGACAGGCTCAGACTGAGGCGGTGCCTTCTGCCTCTGCCCTGGTCATCAAAGCCCTCAAGGAGCCGCCAAGAGACAGAAAGAAGCAGAGAAACATTAAACACAGCGGAAATATCACTTTTGATGAGACTGTCAACATTGCCTGACAGATGCGGCACTGGTCTTTAGCCAGAGAACTTTCCAGAACCATTAAGGAGATCCTGGGGACCGCCCAGTCTGTGGGCTGCAACATGGACAGCCAGCACCCTCATGACATCATAGATGACATCAACAACGGCCTTGTCGAGTGTCCAGCTAGCTAAGGAGCATAAGAAAATACCTCAATAAAGAGATGATCTGGGGCCGGGGAGATGGCTCAGGGGTATAAGCGCTTCCCTGGCAAGCGCAAGGGCCTGAGTTCAATCACCGGTCCCACAAAAAATAAAAAAATAAAAAAAATAAAGAGAGATGCTCTGACCAAAAAAATAAAAGCTACACACCAAAAATGTTATTTTGAAATAATAAAAAATTGAGTCTTACTATCTGCACAGGATGAATGATTTAGACTTCACAAATAGCCTTTAAAGGAGGAAGTTACCTATACACGTATGTTCACACATGTGCACAGATACACTCATGTGAGTCAACTCAGAGGCCAGGCTCCTGCCTCCGCCACATGAAAGGTATCTCCGGGGCAGAACACACCATCCTTGGGTTCCTGGCTGGTTGTTCTCTGTGGTAGGGGGTATCGGGGCCAGGTCCTCCTGCAAGGTTATCCTATTGGGACATCCTGGCAAAAGGGGTGGTGGAGCAGAGATACGTGTCCCCACATCTGCATCTGAGGATAATCCTTTATTTGTGCAGAGAGAGGCCAGGGACTGTGGATATCACCCTATGGACGGGGTTAGGATGTTGCTTTCCCTGGCAATGGCTGAATCAGCATAAGCTTGGACCTCTGCCCTGCTGGTGGTGGGGAAATGTCTCTGGGGGAAAAGGGCTCAGCCTCCAGCGAGTCCAGTCATGTGTTATACCAGGTAAACATGGGCCTCAGGCAGGCAGGCAAGAGGAGCCAAGGTCCTGCCCTTACAGGGCTCCCCAGTGTGCTGGTGCCACAGCCCATGCTGGTCACCATGAGACCCACTCTCCTTGGGGTACAATCTCCCAGAGTCCTCCCAGTGGCACAGGAGAGGCAATCAACTATTATCCTTATTTTTTAAAAACTGTGATAGGGCCAGCCAGATAGCTCAGCGGAGTAAAGCTCCTGCTTAGGCAGGCTCAGGGACAGGGATTCGATCCCCAGTGTGCCATTCAGCCCCCCTAACCCCCCCCCCGCGCTGAGATAGTGATTGAGACTGGGCATGGTGGCACATGCCTATAATCCCAGTGCTTGGGAGGCTGAAAACAGAAGGGTCACTATGAGTCTGATCTACATAGTGAGACCCTGTACTAAATACATTAAAAAAACTGTGATAAAATATACACAATATGAAATATGCCATCTATGCCATCCAAACCATTTTTCATGTACACCCAGTAGATGAGTTCACATGGTTGTGCCCCCAACCTCCAGGACTGTTTTTGTCCTATGCTCTGGAAAATCTATACCCACTAAACAACAACACCTCATTCCTCCCTTCAGCTCCTGGTAAGCATTACCACTTGCTGTTTCTATTAGTGACTACTCTTCATCACTTGTGTAGGTGAACTTGCACAACACTTGTCCCCTGTGACTGGCTGATTTTATTAAGCACAATGTCCTTGAGGTTTATCCATGTTGTAGCATGTGTCATAATTTGCTTCCTTCTAAAGGTGAATGAAAAAAAATATTGGGAGGGAGGGAGAGATGGGGGCAAAAAGTGTATACAACCTTCAGGAAAAGAAAAATAATAGTATGATTTTTTTTTTCAACAGATGGTGTTACCCTTCTATGGGGGGACCCTAAAGGATGTTGCATATCACAGAAAACCCACTGCACTTCCGGCATTTAGAGAAGAAAACGCATGCGCAGCAATCGCAAAGGTCAAGGCTACCCACGTATCAGTCTGCCATATTAACGAATGGCTGGGAGCTCAGGGCTGGGACTTTGAGCACCTCTTGTGCATTGCAGAGGCCAAAGGCAGCTGGTATTAATCTCATGATGTCTCCATAAATTTAGTATGAAAATATTTATACAAGGTTTTCTTTTCCTGTAGTACACATTTTTTTTTGGGGGGGCCAAAAATACTACTAATATGAATACTACAACTAGGGAGTATGGAGCCACATCCCTCCGCCCACCGGAACCTGGGCAGTGCCCTGGAGCAACACTTCCACCTTTGTCCTAAGGCTTCCTACAAGGAGGCAGAGAGGAGAAAAACCAAGATCCCCCTTGTTCTGTCCTAGAAAATCCCCAAATCCCAAACCACGAAGCATGAGCACCAGGCCTGCCTGCACGACCCTCGGGAACCTTTTCCACCTGTGGTTCGCTGCACTCGTGCATATGAACTGCATCTCAGCTGTCCGATGATAACAGCGTGAATCGCAGAACACCAGGCACAGCTGACCTGATTCAGCATCCTGCCAGTCATGCTCTGAAAGACTCCAGCGAGGGCCGGGGAGATAGCCCAGCAGTCTACGTGCCTGCCTGCCAAGCGCAAGCACCTGAGTTCGATTCCTGGTACTATGTGCTGTGCTGGCCCCTCACTGAGCCAGCCACTAAGACCTGATGTGGTGGCACACGCCCGTAATCCCAGTGCTGGGGAGGCTGAAACAGGAGGCTCGCTATGAGTATCTGAGCTGCATGGTGAGACCCTGTACCAAACACATAAATTACAAAACAAAAGGCTGCAAGGAGAGGTGCCCCAGGAGGGGGCAAAACCTTGTCCCTATGCCTTGTGCCCTCCACGCTCATGCCACTCTCCTTTCCCTGGCATGAGCCTGCTCATGCAGAGCACACTGCCCCTTGATAGACTTGCTGCCATTCCCTTACCCTCATGTGCCACATCCAATTCTTTGTTCCTTTTGCATAAGAACCTAGGAAACTGTCCTGGACCCTGTCACCCAGATTGCCAACACACACTGAAGAGCAGGTCCCAGTGCACACATGGGCGCATGGGATGTCCATTCCTAGATGCCCACTGGTCCCAGTATAGGGACTTGGAGGCTGGGAGCCACCCATTCCTCACATCCTGAGGCAAACAAAGCCAGTGAGGAGCTAAAGCAGAGCGGTCATCCCCGCTGTCTGAGAGATGGAGCCAGCAGGTCCAGCCTCCGTCTCGGGTGCTGAGGGCATGTTAGGTGCTGAGGTGGAAAGAGCTGCCTTCCAGCCTTAGTTTCTCCCAGTGCCACAGCGGTGGGCAGGGTTGGCTCAGCACTAGAAGCCCTGCTAGGTAATCAAAACCAGAGAACGCAGCTACTTCAGGGCCCAAGGAAGGCACAGTACTAATGCTGAGGTGTCCAGAGGTGGCCCACGCCTGAGCTGCTTTTCACCAGGTGTGTGGATTCCACGGCCAGCAGCCCTGTTGATCCCCATTCTTTTGCAAAGGTGACTTCTAGATCTTCCTCACAGGTCTTCCTGCTTTTCATAGCAACTAGAGTAAGCTCTTCAAACACACAACTCTGAACTTGTTGTTTCCTCACCATCTTCAGAATAAAGTCAGTTCCTCATTGCACCCGGGAACTGGACCCATAAGCATGCCTGCTTTCTGTCCTCTGAGCTCCAGCTACCCTCAACTGTGGGAACTACATTGCCAGACTCTTCCATCTTCTCTGCATGGACAGATTCAGCTCAAATTCTGCCACTCCTTCTTGGAGTGTTTCTTCATCCTGTTATTCCACAGAGAGGGTGATTTATTTTTCCCCACACACATCACACAGAAAGGGAGCCATTATTTGAATTTGGGTTCCAGAACTGGTTGCTGATTAGTGTTAACCTTCTCTGTAACAGCCAGTGTGCTGCATGGGTATCTGAGCTCTGAGGACAGGACAATGCCCCAAACGTCTCCACCCTAGTGTCCACGATGGAACCAGATGCATGGTCTGATGCCTGCCACCTTGCACTGCAAGAGGGAGATAAGCAGCTAGCTCAGACCTGTTTTGCTGTTCTCTTGGAACAAACAGAGCACAGGAGGGGCTGAAAGGCGGGAAATCCTGCCTGCCTGATCAGCAGCAGGGAAGACCAGCAGCTGGAGAGGATGCTGTCTCAGAAGCAGGGAGTCTCGGCCTTGAAGCCCCTGATCACTACCAGATACACACCAGAAAACACAGTGGCAGAGTGTGGTTCTGATGTCTGAAATTCGGGGAGCCTGCCACCAACCCTGAGGATGCTGCTGGGTCTCCCACCCACGAGTGGCGCTATGCTCAGAGAAGTCTCCCCAACCAGCGGAGGGGGGGGGGAGGCGTGACTCCCTCTTGGAGAAAAATTGGGTCTCAGGGCTGGAGCCCTTGCCTCTGTCTGGGAAGGTGACTCAGGCTGTTTACATCTCGGCAGCCTGGGCTGGGCCTCTAGGTCCTTAGGAAATAATTTCATCTGTTATGAAACTCGGAAAGGAAAAGGCAGTTGGTGACAATGCTCCTTTCTACATTCTCCCCACAGAAAAACTTCAGGATGAGCCTGCAGGATGGCACACCTGTTGCTAGGTAACGGGGCGGGAGGGGGGGAGGACGGAGGAGGACGCCGACCTGAGCATTGCCAGGGGGTCTCCAGAGGGGCTGACACCCGAGAGGGGTGCTCTCTTTTTTCCCAGATCCTAGCCACGACCCTGAGACGGCCGCCACCCACCTCGGTCACGATGGTAGACTGGAAGACGTCCTGGCTGAACTCCCAGCCATCCAGGCAGCTCTCCTGCTCCAGCTGCCCCAGGTCCACGTCGCGCCCCGGCTCCAGCCCGAGCGCGGAGAAATTGGCGACGGCGGCGAGCCGGTAGCGATGGCAGCTGTCGGGCACCTCGCGGCCGTCGCGCAGCAGCAGCGGGATGCTGTGGTTGCGCCAGGCGCTGCTCAGGTTCGCGGCGCCCGGAACCCGGCAGCGGTGCTCCGGGGTCCCCGCTAGGAACACGACTGACATCCCATTGAAGCCGTTGGGGATGATGCTGGCGCTCAGCAGGAAGAAGATGAGGCGCTGGAAGAGCCCCCATTCGCCCAGGAAGGCGGTCACCTCCTCGTAGTCCCGCATGCTTTCCGCTGCTGCTCTACACCTGGCAACGGCGGGTAACGGGCGCGCACGGCCTGCGCCGCCTTCCCGGAGGCTGGCAGCGCGCTCCGGACCCGGGCGGGCGGCGCCACTCCCGGCTGGGGCGTTGGAGCGCGAGCGGGACAAGCGGACCTCTGCAGACCGCACCCCAGGTGCGGGGCTGTACGCGCTGAGGGGCCAAGGGCACCAGGGGCGGGGCCTGAGACATTGGGGCGTGGCCTGCATAGACCCCGCCCCGCCCCGCCCACTCTGGAGCTGCCAATGGGGCGGGGCGAGGGCGCTCCCTGTCCCCCTTGCGCCCGGAAGCACCTGGGTGTCCTCGGCGACCCCCGGGCCGCCACTTCCCACAGGGCCGCGCGAATGGACGAGCCCGGGGCCAGGTCCGCCCTGATTTTCCTTCGGCGGCGGCGTGCCGGGCCAGGCCCGAGTCTGGGCGGCTGCTGCTCGTGCGTGGGAACGCTGTGCGGGCGGCGGGCGCCCAGGGACGCCTCTCTCCTGATCCGCGCCACCAACAGAAGCTCGGGTCTCACTGGCGTGGGCGGCCCGAGTTAGCCACCAGCGTCTTAGGACACGCGGGTTCACCTTGAAGAGGTGAGGCCTGGGAGGACGAGCGAGGTCTCGCCGCGTCGGAGATGCGTCCTGAGCTGGAGTGGCCGGGGCCAGGGCTGGGGGCTGTGCCAGAGTCCCCAGAGCCACCTGTGGGGCCGTGCCCAAGTGCAGCCGCAGCCTGGCCCAGCGCGGGAGCAGTCAGCGTGCACGGCCCGGATTTCTGCCCCTTCAGTCTTCCCGCCCCAGGGCTCTGTAGGGGCAGGGTGCCTGCCAGGCCCTTCTTGGACAGGAGGGTCCTGCGTTTGCAGAAAGAGCTGCCTCCCGAACCACTGCTGAGCAGGGACAGAGGGAGGAGAAATGTCCATTTGGTGCCCAAATCTGGCAGGGTACCAGGAGCAAAGACCATAGTTTTTTTTTTCTATTGAAAAAAAATTTTTTTTTTTTTTTTTTCTATTATTGCTCAGATCTAAGGCTAGCCTGGGCTGGAGCCTGAGTCCTGGAGTTCGTGAGACAAATGAAATTGATAAGGCCCATCTCTGTGGAGGTTTTGGTGTATTGAGTTCGCTTCTCCAGGCCCCTTTTAAGAGGCCGCCGGACTCCTCATTTTTGTAGCTTCTCCTCTGGCCCTGCCTTTTAGGCTGGCTTCCCACCACCCTGGCAACTTCAGTTTCCTGACCTGTCATTTAAGGCTGTGACCTAATGTGCCAAGACAATTGATTTATGTCCAGTAATCCGGTGAAATTAATAGATTCCCTTTATTCAGAAGAGTCATTTGAGCAGTGTACTATGCCATTGTCTTAGCTGGGGTTTCATTCCTTCACCCCAAATTCAAATAATGCACAAAGCCTGTAACAAGAACACACACGAGGTAGTTTATTTTGAGTAGTGGTCCTCAGGAAATAAAGGAGTCCAGAAAATGCACGAGGAAGCAGTTGAAGCCAGCCTAAGACTGTGAAACTGAGTGGGTCACAGGCAAGCTGGGTCAGCAACAGCCTGTTCTCTTGCAACCAGAGGTTGCGTGAAGGAGAAACTAGCAATACTGACCCCACATTAAGAGTTTGATACTGTGTTCATTATAGACTTTTGCATTCGTGTTTAAAAATAATGCATTAAAAGAATAATTGTGTTTGTGAGTGTCTTGCTTTGTTGCCAGGATGGTCTCAGAACCCTGCCCCAGCTTGTCAAGTAGCTGTAAGTACAGGGGCACGCCATTGTGCCCGGCTTGAATATTCATCTTGGCTACTGAATTTCTTGGTGCCTCTTTATGTTTTTCACCAGCAAGTGCCTCACCGTGTCTCACTCTTGTTCCTGGGAGTGACTGGGTTAATCCCACCAGGGCGCTTCTAAAGAAGAGGCATTTGTCCCCTTTGCTTACTCCTATGAAAGCTATACAGTCCTTCAACTAAGCTCTTTGTTGTTGCTGACAAGTGTATGGAAATCAAACCTTTGTTCTCTTCCCCAAGTGAGTGAACAAGCACCGTGCTTACAACTCAGCCAGTCAGAAGGATTTGCCTTCACTGTTCTTGGGGCCACCCCTAAGTGGAGCTGTGGGCAGTAACATCCCCCCACCCTTGCGCTAGTAATGCCAAACTCACCCATTTGTGGGCCAGTTTTTCCCTTCTATCAACACTGCAGAAAGTTACCCACAGGGCTACAGGTTTGAGGTGAGGGATGAGTGTTGGCATATATGTGAGTGACTTAGAAGAGAAGTCAGAGCTCCCTGTTACTGACTTGCATGTACCCTCCTGACCTGCTCAGCCCTGATCTACTGTTTTTGCTATAGGATGGATTGCTGTTGGCCTGCTTGATGGTATGATTGGTAGGATCTAACGGTGCTTAGTGATACTCGCACTGTGTTCAAAGGCTAGGGCAAAACAGCCTGTCTTTACAGAGGGTGACCAGGCATGCTCCAGGATACTGCATTCCTAATTTCACAAACCTGTCTTAAAATAATACAGGATGGAAGGGGCTGGGAAGATGGCTCAGAGGAATAAGTGCTTACCTGGCAGGCGCAAAATCCCTGATTCCACCAAAACAAACCAAACCAACCAACCAACCAACCAAACAAACAAAAAAACAGGGTCTCTCCGCACAGCTCAGACTCATAATGATTCTCCTGTTTCAGCCTCCCTAGTGCTGGATTATAGGAGTGTACCACTACACCTGGTTCCAGTGGCTGGCTCAGCACAGGGTGAAATGGCATGCGGTACCGGGAATCAAACCTGGGTCCTTGCACTTGCCAGGCAGGCGCTTAGATGGCTGAATTATCTCGCCGGCCCCACTACTTCAGTTCTGCATAAGAAGGGTAGGGTCTCAAAAAGGCAAAAAAGAAAAAAAGACGGTCTCTTTAATAAAGGGTGCTGGAAAAACGCTCTACACATGTCAAAGACAATTGGACTCTTATCTTTTACCATGAGCTAAATTAAATTCAAAGTGGATCTAATATCTAAGTATTAAAACAGAAACATTAAATCTGCTGGAAGAGAGAATAGGTAAGCTCTTGACACTGGTGTAGGAAAAGACTTTATAAATAAAACCCTGATCATACAGAAAAATTATAAAGCATCAGCAACTGGGATCTTATCTTATTAAAAGCTTTTGCACAGCAAGAGAAACCACCAAAAGAGTGAAGAGACAACCCACAATGTGGGACAAAAGGCTTGCCAGCTGTTCCTCAGACAAAGGGTTACTATTGAGAACATACAAAGATCTCAAAAATACCAGAGCTCCCAAATGCAAAGGCCCAATCCAGAGGAGACGTTTGAGATGAATGCACACTTCTCAGATGAAGAAATCTTAAAGTAAATAAAGTTGTGAAAAACATTCAACATCCCTAGTCATTCGAGAGAAGCCACCTAAAACAGTACTGAGATCCTGGGCTGGGGAGATAGCTTGGCGGTCTAAGTGCCTGCCTGGTAAGGACAAAGTACCGAGTACTGAATCCTGGTACCACATGCCATGCCAGCCCTGGAACCCTAGGCCTGCCGTGCCAGCACCCAAACTGGGTGTGGTGGCACATGCCTGTACTCCCAGCACTAGGGAGGCTGAGACAGGAGGATCACTACATGTCCAAACTGTGTAATGAGACCCTGTATCAGGGAGAGAGAGAGAGAGAGAGAGAGAGAGAGAGAGAGAGAAAGGAAGAGAAAGAAAAAAAGAGAGACAAATATTGAGATCCCATCTCACCCTGGAAAGAATAGCTGTTATCAAGAAATCAACCAGTAACAAATGCTTGAGAGGCTGTGGGGAAAAAGGAACCCTTCTCCACCTTTGGTGGGAGCGCAGACTGGTGCAACCACTGTGGAAACCAGTGTGGAGGTTCCTCAAAACACTAGGACTAGAGGTTCCATGCAACCCAGCTCTTCCCCTTCTGGATGTTTTCCCAGCACTGAGAACATCATATCATAGCAATATATGTACATCTATGTTTATAGCTGCACAACTTGGAATAGCTAGATCTTGGAAACAACCCAAATGCCCATCGGTCGAGGAATGGATAAAAAAACATGGGGTCTTTTTATACAGTGGAGTACTCCAGAGCCTTAAAGAAGGATAAATTGGAAAAGGGCTGGCCTGATAGCTCAGCGGACTAAAGTGCCTGCTTAGGCAGAGCGCAGCAGCTGGGGTTCGATCCCCGGTGTGTCTTGCCGGCCCATCTCCCAGGGTGTGCTGAGGCAGTGATGGAGACTGGGCGTGGTGGTGCATGCCTGTGATCCCAGCGCTTGGGAGGCTGAAAACAGGAGGATCACTAGAGTCTGGAAATGAGTCTGAGCTGCATAGTGAGACCTGTACCAAATACAAAAGCTCACTGGATCTGCTTGATTTCATGCCAGAAGACTTGAAGAGAATATTCTCTGATTGGGCTCAGGCACAGGGCTTTTGCCCAGGCCCTGGGGCTCGTACCGCCAGCTTGTGCTCACTTGCGCAGCTGCCTTGCCACACCCCAGTCTCCTGCCTCTCTTTTCCCCAAGAGTCATAGCTGTTCACAGGCTGCTGAGGGTGTGGAGGAGTCTGTCTTCATGGGCTATTTCTGGCTGAAAGGCCACAGGCCCTACCTATGGGGATTATGTACTCTATTTTAAGACGCTGAGCCTCATGGCTTGGCTGAGGAAAACCTGTCAGAAGAGAATCAGGAAACAGTGTCTCCTTTTGGAGATCTCCGTGTGGGCCCCGAGGCCTGGGAGTGAATCTGGAGGGCACGGTTTTTCAGAACACAGAGTCTTTGCAGGGCAGCACAAGAGGCCAGACCTGGCCGCGAACCTTGTGCTGAGGCTCTGGCCGTGATCTGGCTGCCCCACTGTCCAGCCACATGGCAGGGCGGCTGCCCTGGGCACAGCTGGGCCCAGACCCTGCATGGGACCTCATGGGGTTTAGCCAGCCACTGCTGCCCACTGCCCTCCGCCTCCAGAGAGGACGCAGGAGAGCACCTGCTGGCCAGGGCCCTGGCCTCAGCGCGCTTCCTGTGCTGCCCAGGCATCATGGCACCCAGCCTCCAACCAGAGAAAGCTCCTCGGATCAGAGTTCTGGCTGCCTCTGCCTGTGACTTGACGCACAGTCGCACAGTCCTGAGAAGACATCTGAGTATCAATACCATCCTCCTCCCTGGGCCAAATCTCTCCTGATTTGTGTTCCTGGGGGGGAAAAAAAATCCTTTCTAATGATATTTGACCTGAGTGAGTTGTTTTGTCTTATTTTTCACTTTGGTCCTGGATATAACAAAAGGCTAAATATGATGACAGTTTTCACTGTGTATGCTCGCAACACACACATGCCATTGTATCCTGACCCATTTACTCAGTTCCGTTTGGGGTTACACGAGAGTTAACCCTGAATCATGTGGGGAAAAACCACAGGGCCTATGGAACAACTGCTTACCATAAAAGAAAGCCATGTCCCTGATTCTGAACTGCTATTGCAAAAGTTTTTCCTCCTGGGTTTTCTGGGTTCTCTTTTTTACTCTGAAATGCATTTATTAGGTTGAGAGGTTATGTTCCATAAACGGAAGCCAGGGCGTCTGCTTTCAGCATTCGTTGCAACCAAAAGTGCACCCTATCGCGTCAGCACCCGTGCTTGGTTCTTTGCAGGATCTGAACTGAATCTATGAGCCTTATGGAATATAACTCCATGATCTTTTTAATTATGGGACCTTAATGGAAGCTATTACATGGGTAATGTTTGTCCTTACTGTGCAATGAGGGAATTTTTAGTAGTGCTTCCCGGTGCATGTGCAAAAGAGTAGGAAAAATGTTTCTGAAACAAAACTGGACGAATATCTATAATGGATGAATATCTATAATGAAAAGTAAATTTAAAGATTGCTAAAACTGCACTATAGAAACAATGTTAGTATTAAACAAATTATACAATAAAAATAGTGTCTGTGTGTGGGGAACTGCTGAACTGCTGGCTCAGCGTGAGTGTGGAAAACGTTCCTGTGGAGGAGAAAGTACGGCAAAGAGGGCTATTAGCTGGCCCCCAGCGCCCCTTGGACCTGTGGTGGGCCAGGGCTCACCGCGACCGCTTATCTGCCTGAGGTTTGCACAGGTAGCTTTTTTTCCTTTGGGTGGGCTTTTCCTTTAGATAGTGTAGGTGGAGCCGGCTTTATCCTGGAGAGGCAAGTCCAGCTATCTGTCCCTGCCACCTTTACTGCAGTGGGTGTGGCAAGGGTCACTGAAAAGGGACCCTTCTGTTTTGGTTGTAGTTGGTCTCAGGAGTCCTTTTTTTTCAAGTTTTATTGAGCACTTGGCCTCCTGGGCAGACACGAGGTGACCTCCCTGGGCCAGAAGCTGGCAGGACTTTGTTCCCTTATAGTTGGATGGCCTGCTGTACTTGGCTCAGATTAATAAGGGACTATAAGAGTCTCGTGGTCTCCAGGTCTCCTTCCGTATCAGAAGACAGAAAAGGCCTCCCACATAGTATCATAAATGGCTCATATTTAGCCCCGCTGTGTGGGGGGTATTTTGAATCTCCAGGAGGGCTATTGGAAGAAATAGGAGCCAGGTCTCAGCCAGCTCTGGGCAAAGTTTTGTGAGCACTTGCTTTAGGGTCTGGTTGGCTCTCTGATCTTTTCAGAAGACTG